AAATTACAGTCGTAATATGGTAGATAATGATGAAAAACTGACATACAACATCTCAGTATCACTGTCCCTTACTGTCTGTTCAACAATATCTCGCTAGATCGTCTAGTAACACAAAAACAGCATTTGTTTACATTAATACAATGTCGAAGTGCAATGTGTATTGCATCAATAATTCAAGTAAACAATAAGATAATGAAATAACATCAACAATAAAACATTTCTTATAGATTTACAACTGGATGCTACTTTACTTCACTTACAAACACTCCACCATCAGCCTGTGATTAATTAATATGCAATATTCTAAAGTCCAACCCCCATGCATATTACACTTCCCCCCACTTAAAAAGTCAAATTCTCCTGAATTTACAGTCTTAATCAAAATCGTCTGGTTCTGCTAGTTTCTTACTTCCATCATCAATGAAATCTTTATCCTTCTTGACTCGACCGCTTCTTTCGGTAATTCTCACACATCTGTCTGCTCGTCTGATGTCTTTTCAGCTACTTCTTTCTCCATCTCTTCGTCTCTCTCTCTCTCTGCTACTTCTGTCTCCATCTCCTCTTCTTGTCTCTTTGCTACAGATAAACATGTCTGTTTTAAAATCCACCATCCACCCCAAGTATAAAATATTCAGTTCCCTATACATAAGCTAGTATACAAGATTGGAAATTGTTGTTAGAATTGAATGTATGTAGTTGATAAAGGTAGGTTCCTATGGGAAGCAGTCAGTCAATCAGTCGGGTCTAATTCTTCATTGTTTTTGTAGATTCCTCCCAGGATCAGGAAGTCGCATCAATTATCCATTTATAATTCTATTCCAGTAGTAGATTGAAATCAACAAAAGTATCAGTCCGGCACAGCCCTAGACAACTGTTTCCCCATCAGTCCTGTCTAATCCTAGCCAACTGATGTCCACCTACAGTCCGGCCCAGGCCTAGACAACTGAGGTCCACCTACAGTCCGACCCAGCCCTAGACAACTGAGGTCCTAATGTGCACTAATAGTAATGGCCAGTCACTATCTACACATTCACCTAGTGTGGTGCACCACCTAGGACAACATCCATCTTAGACATGTGTCAATATAATAAAACAAAAAAATCTGGTATCATCAAACTACTGTCCAACATCATTTAGTTTTGTGGTATGAACTTCCTGAACCAGGGTTGCAAGTTGATGCCTCGATATATCATCAACCTATCCTATAAATTAAGTCAAGTCATCTAGTTGTCCTGTTACAAGGTCCTTTTCATTTTGAAGTTAATACAGCAAACCCATCCTTTGGCAATTTATCTTTGTGATGAAGTTAAGAAGAAAGTCCTTTCCAAGGATCCTATCTTGTGAAATTTTGCAAATTACAAATTCGTGTGGCAATGCTTCTTTCCCAAAAGATACATCCAGTACAATGGTCCTGATGTTCTCTATTAAATTCCCATTTACATCCTGAATGTCAGAGGTTGCAGGCCGTATGTTAGAGCTAGTTTCCTTTGAGAGTTTAGTAAAATTTTTAACTAAATAATCCATGCAGTCGATCCACTATCGTAGAAAATATATTGTTTTGTCAAATATGTTTCCTTTTGTATAAAATCCATTGTCCCGTAAGAGAGTTATATCCCCTGTGTGGCCATTCCTAGTATGTTCATTTCCAACAGAAAGACATTCCTCTTGTGCCGACTCCTGACTTAATGATATCTGTTATCTCTCATGTTTCCACTGCCATGTCTTTTATTCAGGTTAGAGGTCGGGGTCATCTGTTGTCCTCTTGTCCATCGGTCTGGGCAGTCCTTCATGAGATGATCTGGTGAATTGCAGATGAAGCAAGTCCAAGAGTTATTGCCCTTCCGAGGTTCCATTCTCTGTGCACTTTCCAGTTTCTCTAATCTATTGATTAGTGACTTGATTGTATCCTCTAAGTCATTTGATTTTTGCTCTCCAGTGGGCTGTTTGACTGCTTGTTCTTGATCCACATGTCTAACATTTATTTTCTTTTTATCCCCATCCCCCATTATTGACTCGTATCTCTCAATGACGTCTACCGCTTCTGCAACAGTGCTACACTCCTTGTCAATACAACGGCATTTCATTTCAACGGGAATAATTTTGTAAAGGTGGTTCAGGGCCAGTGATTCCTGAGCGTCAATGTCCAAGTTACTGTAAGCTTTTTGTGATAATTGCCGTATATCGTCTCCAACATCTGCAATATTTTCTCCAGGCATCCGCCTACGCATTTCCAGTTTTGAAAGCCACCTATTTTTGTGCTTTGAACTACCAAATCTCTGGTCCATACGCTGAACAAGAATTTTAAACGTGCGTCTTTCCTCAAGTGTTAGGCTCATGTAGAAAGTCCTGGCTTGTCCACGTAAGCTAGCGGCTAAGAAAAGAAGTTTAGTCCTGTCGTCCCAGTGGCTATATAAGTTCAACGCAGTCTTGAAAGTGAGAAAAGTATTCCTCCCAACTTTCTTCTCCATCGTAGGGTTCGGGTTTGATCATAAGTGTAGAAATGCGATTGTGATCACTTTGTGCGTCGTCAGCTAACTGATAATCAGATCGCCGACGGAAATTATGTCCTCCTTCGTCGTCATTGTCATCACTGTCATCTCTTTCCAAAGGATTTTCATTTGCCATTAAATATTCGTCATCAGTGTTCCTCCCACAGACATCTGTTTCGTCCCCTTGGCCTAACTGAACATTTTCCTTATGTTCATTTATAAATACTTCAGGATCCGGCGAAGTAGCATCCTCCATTTTTAACTATAAAAACAGTAACAAGAACATATGTACATCGTTATTTTAAAAATAGATTTTTTTTTTCCTCCACCACACGACAGTCCGCAATCCACTCTATTTCAGTACTTGACAGGTATTAAAGTACGGGTTCGTATCCTAGATGTCCTCGTATATGGTAGGACATCCCACTTCTGACACCAAAAATTGTAAGCTTCCTCAGCACCCTGTCAAATGCCAATCAGCTTACAATGTTTCCATCCCGTGTAAATTCAATAAGTTATAAAATTATATTTTTATCAGGACTAGATCTACTCATGACATCCGTCCACATATAAAAAAAAGGGGGGGGGCATCCTCAGCCCGTCACATGTATTTAAACACCCTTGATAATTTACTTCACATCCTTGTAAATCATAACCAAGTTCCATTCTTCGTTTCAAATATTTCATTTAATAAAGACTTCAAAGTTCAATGAAATATAACAAAACAGTCAGTACATCTATGAGTATATAAAGTCCTAGCTTAACATCTCTGGCCTAATAAAACACAGTGGATCGCGGTGTCCGTGCGGTGGAGAAATTATACACTACTTAATTTGTATTAGTTTGTAAACATTATTTTCTTTTACCTAAGTCACTAGTAATTTACAGTCAGTGATGTTGATGACGTAATATGATCTGATCGTTACGATCGTCGTGATGAAACTGGCGTTCGCTGCTCATATATATAACTTTCTATAAATGGTCACGTGATCACAACAACCAATGAATAATTGTCCTTTCTGGAGTCTCTCAGAACTACTTTACATACATATTGTGTAATACAAAGAAAATAACATCGCTCAAAATGTCCTCTCTACATGTAAAGTGGGAGCTTTAAATTCTATTCGATATACATCATAAAACAAATTCAACAAACAATCTGTAATAAAACGGACACACACAATCCATGGCGTAGTAATACCGAACAATAACGCAAACACATAAGTATTACGCTACACATTCAAGTTCCAAAATATTTCGTCAAATAAAACATAATTAATGGCAATAGCTGCAATAAAATAACATTTAAGTATCAATTATGAATATTTGAGGACACGGACAGTGTTATTTCGATCGTATCAATTGTAAAACAATAATGTTTATGTCACATGACTAATTTCTTCGTAAGAAAGATGGCAGGCGCCCAATTTACAACACATGTGATAATGCTGAAATAAGTAAGTAAATTACAGTCGTAATATGGTAGATAATGATGAAAAACTGACATACAACATCTCAGTATCACTGTCCCTTACTGTCTGTTCAACAATATCTCGCTAGATCGTCTAGTAACACAAAAACAGCATTTGTTTACATTAATACAATGTCGAAGTGCAATGTGTATTGCATCAATAATTCAAGTAAACAATAAGATAATGAAATAACATCAACAATAAAACATTTCTTATAGATTTACAACTGGATGCTACTTTACTTCACTTACAAACACTCCACCATCAGCCTGTGATTAATTAATATGCAATATTCTAAAGTCCAACCCCCATGCATATTACAGTTATTAATGTAAATGATTTGAATCCACTGTACAGTTAAACATTTCTACCAGATTATGATTTAATAGAACGTTAGATAAAAAAAAATATGACATAAGTTCACAAACTTCCCGAACAGCCCTCGTGTGTAATCATTTCTTGAATCCCTCCCCAATACTTGGTTGGTTTGTTTAACAGGAAAGATCCTTGTAGAGCATATTCCCTCAATTTTTAAAGAGGGCTTTTATTGTAGTTCAATAGTACCATCAAGTGTAAATCCTCGACGATCAATTATGTGTTATAACCAAATACTTTCTTTGATGTTGATTTTCCTCCTAAAAAGGAAGGATATATATTATATAATAAAAAACAACATATTTCTTAATAAAACTTCCGCATTCACAAACACTACTTTTCTTTTTACTTTTTTCAGGCAGACAATGAAGTTTGAATACTACTTATCATTGTGTAAGTAAATGGTTTTACTAAATACATATAAGAGATTTATAACATCTTTTAATTATAAACATGGTAATTTTGATAATTGGGGAAGAATCAAAACTAAATCTTTTTTTTAAAAGGTCGATCTAAAAAAAAACCCAGATTTTTTTTTTAAATTACGTCATTTGTATAAAAAGGTTTTTTCTAATGGACAGGATGATATTCTGGTTTTTTTTTTTATTTAAGAGCAACAGAAATGTATATGCTAGCATTCTGTAAACCTCTTTTACAGATCTGTTTATTTTCAAGAGAAGTATAGCTGATTATGATCGGTAAGTCATTAACCACAAAACTAAAATTGGTTATATTTTGGAGAATGTCTATATATATAAATTACTTTGGAAAACATGTAATACATTCTTTTCTCGAATTTACTTTACAGTGCGAGTAAACAATTTAAATACCGGGATAATCACAATTTAGTAACTCAAGTAATCGGAAGTATCAACGTTTTTAAAATTCATTTCATGACGCTAGGACGAAATGAAATAAAGAGTGAATGTTTTCCTATAATTAGTATCAGTTAAAGTTTCAATTCTAAAAAGAAAGAAATGACTTGTTAGCATTGAATGATGATCTTTTCATTGATGGATGATCTATTTCTTGTATAGTAATTCATAAAAAGGTACAGAGCCCTTATTATACCAAATAGCCAACATACAATAAAGCACAATTACATGTATAAACATCTAAAATACTCCATGCTTTTATGAAGGTATTTCTCTCCCTTTAAATTTGATATCTAGTTATATCGTTTCTCGTGAATTTATAGCCTAAAGCAGAGCATACGAGGGGCTATCAAAAAGTTCGTGGACTAGCGCCATAAAATTAAAACCGCTTTAGGTACATCAATGAATTTTAAAATATTTATTTATCATCATCTTTTCTATCTATAGAATAAACCACAAACCACGAATTTTATTTTTAGATAAATTAGTACAGTTTTTGTAAGCAATGGTATGTCCATCCGGCGCAACCTCGAAAACGGCGTTTTTTTCGACCTAAGTGTAACTAAGATAAACTATTTTGATATGGATATTTGACATCCAAAAATTCCGTTAATTCAGGTATGTGTAAAGACATTATTGTTCCATAAAATATGAATTTTTTACCTCATTCTGGAAGTTCTATGAAATTTTATTGTAAATTTTATTGTAAATATTGCCTTGAACATGACGTCAAAAGGGGTGAGAGGTTTCATTTTCCAACATTCTATAAAGTTTTGCCTCTTGAAAAACTGGTATACACCTAGGAAAGTTTTTAACTGGCTACGGAGAATAAAATTGCATCCAGATTACTTGTTTTTTATTGCCAAAATAGATTCAGAGAGAAAAGGGATGCAAAGTTAATGTCGATTTGTAGTCAAAGTTTGAAAAAATCTATCACGTCAAATAATGACGTTGATCATGTGTTTTATAGCTATATTGAACTCCAAAAAACAAAATACGCTGACACAATCAAGCGAGGATGTCTCCCAGTGTAAATTTGTGATAATATATGCACTGCGAGCTGCTGTTCATGACATTGTTAGGTCATAAAAACAAGACGGGTTGAAGTCATTACTTAGCTCTAGAGAATCTCATCAAAATAAGTATACGAGGTAGAATAAGTGGACATTGAAAAATGATGACGTCGGACGTCATGAAACTAAACGGCAATTTGTATAGTAATTCATAAAAAGGTACAGAGCCCTTATTATACCAAATAGCCAACATACAATAAAGCACAATTACATGTATAAACATCTAAAATACTCCATGCTTTTATGAAGGTATTTCTCTCCCTTTAAATTTGATATCTAGTTATATCGTTTCTCGTGAATTTATAGCCTAAAGCAGAGCATACGAGGGGCTATCAAAAAGTTCGTGGACTAGCGCCATAAAATTAAAACCGCTTTAGGTACATCAATGAATTTTAAAATATTTATTTATCATCATCTTTTCTATCTATGGAATAAATCACAAATCATAAATTTTATTTCTGAATAAATTAGTGAAGTTTTTGTAAGCAATGGTATGTTCAGGCGACGCAACCTCGAAAACGGCGTTTTTTCGACCTAAGTGTAACTAAGATAAACTATTTTTATATGGACATTTGGCATCCAAAAATTCCGTTAATTCAGGTATGTGTTGAAACAGTTTTGCTCCATAAAATATGAAATTTTTACCTCATTCTGGAAGTTCTATGAAATTTTATTGTAAATATTGCCTTGAACATGACGTCAAAAGGGGTGAGAGGTTTCATTTTCCAACATTCTATAAAGTTTTGCCTCTTGAAAAACTGGTATACACCTAGGAAAGTTTTTAACTGGCTACGGAGAATAAAATTGCATCCAGATTACTTGTTTTTTATTGCCAAAATAGATTCAGAGAGAAAAGGGATGCAAAGTTAATGTCGATTTGTAGTCAAAGTTTGAAAAAATCTATCACGTCAAATAATGACGTTGATCATGTGTTTTATAGCTATATTGAACTCCAAAAAACAAAATATGCTGACACAATCAAGCGAGGATGTCTCCCAGTGTAAATTTGTGATAATATATGCACTGAGAGCTGCTGTTCATGACATTGTTAGGTCATAAAAACAAGACGGGTTGAAGTCATTACTTAGCTCTAGAGAATCTCATCAAAATAAGTATACGAGGTAGAATAAGTGGACATTGAAAAATGATGACGTCGGACGTCATGAAACTAAACGGCAATTTGTATAGTAATTCATAAAAAGGTACAGAGCCCTTATTATACCAAATAGCCAACATACAATAAAGCACAATTACATGTATAAACATCTAAAATACTCCATGCTTTTATGAAGGTATTTCTCTCCCTTTAAATTTGATATCTAGTTATATCGTTTCTCGTGAATTTATAGCCTAAAGCAGAGCATACGAGGGGCTATCAAAAAGTTCGTGGACTAGCGCCATAAAATTAAAACCGCTTTAGGTACATCAATGAATTTTAAAATATTTATTTATCATCATCTTTTCTATCTATGGAATAAATCACAAATCATAAATTTTATTTCTGAATAAATTAGTGAAGTTTTTGTAAGCAATGGTATGTTCAGGCGACGCAACCTCGAAAACGGCGTTTTTTCGACCTAAGTGTAACTAAGATAAACTATTTTTATATGGACATTTGGCATCCAAAAATTCCGTTAATTCAGGTATGTGTTGAAACAGTTTTGCTCCATAAAATATGAAATTTTTACCTCATTCTGGAAGTTCTATGAAATTTTATTGTAAATTTTATTGTAAATATTGCCTTGAACATGACGTCAAAAGGGGTGAGAGGTTTCATTTTCCAACATTCTATAAAGTTTTGCCTCTTGAAAAACTGGTATACACCTAGGAAAGTTTTTAACTGGCTACGGAGAATAAAATTGCATCCAGATTACTTGTTTTTTATTGCCAAAATAGATTCAGAGAGAAAAGGGATGCAAAGTTAATGTCGATTTGTAGTCAAAGTTTGAAAAAATCTATCACGTCAAATAATGACGTTGATCATGTGTTTTATAGCTATATTGAACTCCAAAAAACAAAATATGCTGACACAATCAAGCGAGGATGTCTCCCAGTGTAAATTTGTGATAATATATGCACTGAGAGCTGCTGTTCATGACATTGTTAGGTCATAAAAACAAGACGGGTTGAAGTCATTACTTAGCTCTAGAGAATCTCATCAAAATAAGTATACGAGGTAGAATAAGTGGACATTGAAAAATGATGACGTTGTCGGACGTCATGAAACTAAACGGCGACGGCGCCGGGTGATCATATAATGTCGTCTTTATTTTATTTGGGGAATAATGAACGCATCAAGCTAAAATTTTCAACATTTCTTTATATTTTGTTGCTTTATGTTCCTAATAAATTTTTTAAGTTCATACACCATAGTATTAATTTTATAGCCTCAGTCCACGAACTTTTTGATAACCCCTCGTATCTACAGTTCTGCAGTTAGTTTACGGATTAATCTTTTAAGTGACATATGCAGAAGTAGTTCCGATTTTTTTTATTTCAAAAAGTTGGTTTCCTGAGCCAATGCGCCCAGTTATTTTATTACAGTTAAACCTATTTATGCACAATACTGGGAAATTGCGATATACTTCTTTGTACATAGAACCATATAATGTAAATTTTAAGTAAAAGTATAATATATTTATGTTTTTTCATAATTGGTATTTAGTCATTTACTTTGTTACACTCTTTAATTTTGAAATTTCCCAGAAAACGTCATGCAAAAATTTTAAGTATTAGATACCAAGTTATCAAACTTAAAAAAAAAAAATATTAACCAAGTTAAAATAATTGCTAATGGACACTTCTTGGAATATCAGTAACTTACAACTCATTTACAATTTTGTACTTTTAAAGAAAATGTATAAAACAGTGCCTCATTACCAGTATTAGAAATTACAATCAGTATCACCATTCTTAAAATTATAAGTGTTCATGTTATTTAGGAAGATATGTTTAATGGATGGAATGACCTTTGCTCTCAGACGCAGTGATTGTAAACCAGTTTACAACAATACTTTACGTGAGTTAATTGATAAGGTTATTACGTTGATAAAATTTACAATGCTGCTGTCACTTTTGATGAATATAAAATAATTCATTTTATACGCTCTCACAGGTCGGAGAGAGTACTCGAAATCGGGTATTATCCGTGAAATTGCGTATAATACTCGATATTAGGGTATTGAATCCGCGAAATTGGGTATAGGAGGTGTAATCACCTAATAAAACTTAAACAATGGGATGGCGCATGTTGCCGAGTTAACTTTCATCTAGATACACGTTTTCTAAAGGTATCACTAGCCAAGTAAGAATTTGGGCGTCAAGATTAACGCGCTCGGGACAACAAATACTCGTAGAGCTCAGTACATTTCATGACCTGCACACAAAAAGGCGTTCGATTTGCTTTATATTTTTCCTTATGTTGAAAGTATATGCATCTTCCTAATGTTCATTCCAAACACAACAGAATTGTAAAATATCCGAATTCGGGAATTTATAATAATTCCACATCAACACGACAAACATGAACAATTTGTAAATAAATCAAATTATACGGAAACACATTTCACACACCAGATATGATGCCATGTATAAACAAGGGATTGTCTATCGTATCTAATTATGCGTCATTAATTACTTTCACATTCATCTTGTGCATAAAATCAAATTTATTTATGAATGTATAAATAGTGTAATGATAAAAATGTCTAAAATTTCGGCTAAAAGAAACCTCTTTCTCTTTTTTTGAAAATCTTTTCTTTTTTATTTATCATTCAAACATATTTCCAGAATATGTCTTCAACATTTTAGCAGAGACAGTGATAGTTTCAGGAATACAGCTTATCAGAGAACATAACTGTTGATCGTTTAATTTCGCTAAGTCATCAATATTTTACCATTTCTTGGCGACTTCAAAGGGGGGGGGGGACTAAAGGCTTCTTGACCACCTCTGACAAAACAACTGAGTTCTACATGTGTCCAAGAGACTTCTCTTTGAATGTCACGGTCGGTTATATTTAGAAATTCAATGTATTATAAGCTCATGAAAAGATGTACACATTTGACTTTTATTTATAACCCCCCCCCCCAAAAAAAAAGAAAAAAAAAAACCAAGACCCTGTTCATATGACCTCTCGCTCTCAATTTTCACACAAATGCATAAAATCAAGGTAAAATAGCATATCATGTATCGATTAAAATGCAACCAAAAATTTACGGTGTCTTTGAATAAAAATTTCATGCTAAATTGACATAAAAAAAAGATACTCACCTTCAATTAGCTATTTTCAAACTGTTTTCCCGTGGGTATTTATTTAATCTTATTCTATTTTCTTCTTTATAATAATGTTGGTATTCTATTATGGCAGAGACATACAATTATGACTCTCTTATACTGTACTCTCTAACTGTTAGGAGTAATTTATATTTCACGAGAAAGGGACGCCATACGTTTTTCAGTAAAAATACATAACACGGCGTTAGTCGTTTAATTTCTTTAAAATTTCACGTTTTGTGAATAGTGCACAAATTAGAAAATTAAATATATAGAATACTTTAATGGGAAATAAAGACAAACGAAGTGTAGTTATTTGTTTTTAGAAATTATATTGAAAATAATAACGCCATTGTGTCCTCTTTGTTACCCCAGCAGTGTTTGTCGTGTGATTTTAAACTTATTTGACAACCCTATGAATTAGGTTTAATAAAAATAAATCCACAAGATACTGATGTACAAGTAACAGTTACTGGCATAATGCGCCGTTGCTTTATTCTTTAGTTTTCATAGAAAGTTGCACGGAATACCCGATTTCGCGGATTCGACGATACCCTAATATCGAGTATTATACGCGATTTCACGGATAATACCCGATTTCGAGTATTCTCTCCGACCTGTCTAAAGCTTTCTATGTCGTAAACTAGCTGAAAAAATACGAAATTGGGTGTAGATATAGGCTACATATACTTTTAACATTCCAATTGTAATTTCTACAGAATTTTAACTTGAACATCCTGTTTTCTTTATTAATTAAAATTGATTCTATCTGTTATTTAAATGTGGATAAATAAATCGGACGATGTTTAGTTTACTGAAAAGTCCTATCTTAAATGGGCCTGGACACAGTTTCAACTGAGTTTTAAAAAACAATTTTCATGCTAACAAAGCCTACCTAAGGCGTCATCAATTGATTAGCAAAAATGTGAACATCATTTGTTGCTTAACAAACAAGACAGAAAACTTAAAGTTCTTCATAATGTAAACAAAGCTCGTGCCTTGTTTTTGTTTACATATAGAACATATTATATTTATAACAAAATGAAGTTCAGCAAATCAATAGTAACTGTCGAATTGTATTTAAGATCTTCCGTTTCCAACGGAAGACCTTCTACTGATTCTGTTGGTAAAGATTATTATTCTTTTTTTCTTCTGCTTCCTAGACCGCAACTTTGAGGCCTCATATCTCACTCATTTCTCAACGGATTTCGCTCAAATTTTCGGAGATTATAGACGTTTATAAACTCTATCAGAATGCTGATTAAAATTTCAAAAAGTCACTTCCGGTTTTGAGTTATTTCCCTTTAAACGAAAATTTATAGGCTTTCGTTTCCGGACAAAGGCTCAGAGACGGCTAAAGCTGGAGCAGAAATTCTACTGATTTTAGATAATAGAAGGATTGAAGTTGTGCACATCGGTTTTTGTTTCTCGATTTATCTTTTCAAAATGGCGCTATATAGGGGTCAACAATTAGAACGCTTAAAAGAACCAAAAATTACTCATATTTTGCTTTTTATTTTCTAAACTAAAAATATTTTGTTAAAATATATAGAACATAATTTGTGCAGAATTAGTAGATCTTTCAAATGATATGTTGGAAAAAGGGCTGACCCCCTAAATTAAGGGATCTAGAGGGGCCAAATTTTTTTTCCAGATATCTCAAAAAGTATTGAGAATTTGTTTTACATCAAAGAAGCAAAGTTGTTGAAAATGTCAAGCTAAATCTAATTGCCTGACGTCACGGCGTAAGGCTGAATAAGGATTGATAATTGCTTGATCCGAAACTAATAGATCATACCCAGAGAGCTAGATTTTGTGCAAGCTGATTTACATTGGAAATCTTTTACCTGCATTTTAAAAGAAACATTTTTCAGGGAAACAATGATTTTACTGATGCAAAATAATGCAGTATTTACTTTGTTTACTCTGTTTGCATGAAACAGATTATTCCATGTGATTTACCGTTTCAACGTGTCCGTGTATCTTTTTTTCTGCATTTCTATACTGGATTAATCCATTTATATTCTACGAAAGAAATGAATCGCTCTTTTCGCGCCAAATGTCACGAGTAAGTGATCTTCGCGCATTTTCTTGGATTGTTCTATTGTATGAATGGGGGTGCTAACTTCCATGGAATTAAATAAAGTTTGTTATTGTAACTTCCATCTTCTTATGATTCAGAAATTCTGTCTACAAATTTTATTCCTTAAAACAACATATGAATCGTATGTATCAGAATATGGACATGCAAAACAAAAGAAATGATTTCTCTAATTTGTTTCCCCTCTGTTGGTTTATTCCAAATTTTAATGGACTAGTCCAATCACCACAAACGATCAACCAGATTCCAGACGATTTGACGAAAGATATTACCTGAGCGAAATCTTGGATTTCTTTTCCACAAAAGCCTAAATGTTGGTTTTACCTATTTCGTTCTCAAAAAATTATAGTACCCACCTTTCAGAAAAAAAAGATCAATGAACACAAACCACTACTGTTTACTTCATTGGAGAAAATACTTTCCTACAACATATGTATTTAGTTATATCCATTCTCTAAAATGTTCACAATGAATGATTTGACAACAGATTTCAGAATAGGTGTAGCTTTAAATTTAGATCCAGGGGTAGATCAATCTACTTGCAGAAAAGTCAATCGCATCATCTCGGGTCTTTTCGTCAGAGGTCGAAAAACAAACTCGAATGTATCGACATCATCGGATGTTAAAAATTTCTGCATTTCCTGTTCATAGTAAAAAAGGAGTTAGAAGTCCCTTCTATAGTATATTTTAAATAATATCATTACATTGAATAAAGTTAACTCTATATTCCACAGATAATAGGTCTATATACATCATCATCCATGCTTTTATTTCAAAGTTTGTGAAAAGGGGGGGGGGGTGTCATGGCGTATAAATTAACAATACATTTGTGGTCTTCTTCCCTAGATAAGGCCCGAGGAGTGGGACCGAGGAGTTGCGATTGGCAGAAAACCCACATACATTAGCCATTCTGTTAACAACTCTTCAGAATGCAGCAAAGGCATCGCTCTTCTACAAGTTAAATAATTAAATATTTTTACAAGGTTCTCAAATAAAAAGACATATTTCAAACACAAAAAAAGTATTGATCAAAAGGTTTATCACTTCTCTTACAGATATTGATTGATTAAGTCAGGCAAGCTTTTTGAAAAGTTGTTACTTGTGAAGTCGTCAAAATACGTCCAGCGTCGTCACTTCCGGCGAAACCGGAAGTAGTCGGAAAACGCGTATTTTTGCCGTTTTTGACAAGTTTTCGGATAACATATGTCTCAGGAAACTTAAAAATAATTTTCCGTGCGTCGTCGTCACTTCCGGTCAAACCGGAAGTAGCAAAAAATGGCTTTTTTTGCATTAATTAACATATACTAATCAAAATTTTTAAGTCCCCACGTAAATTTTTGTTTTACACTGCTTTTATATTAAATAATTCAGACAATATAAATTGAAAAGTATACAGGATAAAAAGAAGCAAAATATTTTTTTTTCACTTAATGTAATTATATTAAAGGACTTTAACACAAAATGTAGAAGAGTGAAGGTACCCTAGAATTAAAAATTCGCAACGTTAAGTGTTCAATACTGGTTCTATCCTCCGTGCAAACGAATTAAGATCAAGACAATTGCTTCTCAAAGAGTTCACACAATTAAAGAAAAATCTTTATGGAAGGATATTCCATGTATGGACTAGGTTGTCCTCTATATTTCCGCCAGATTCTGCTGCTGGAAAAGCGCTCAATCTCTGGTCCATCTTGTCCCGTTCATGTTCTATAGGGTTGAGATGTGAATGACATTGAAGCTTACCAAAATTGTTTGTACTGATTTTCCTAAACAACTAAAGATGGAGAACACATGGCAATTTAAATAAATGGAAGATACACCCGAAAACATATGAAACTCGCACTTCATGCTTTTTCACAAAAAGGGTCATGGATGAGTAATTACACATTCGATTTCAATTTTTCTTGGCCGTAACAGGCAATCATCGAAAAATTAAGTCAAAATTGTGAACTAGTTAATCAATGTTAAGGTTTTTAAATACTTAAAATAATAAAAGTGGGGACTTAGTAATTTTGAAAAGTATAGCTTTAGAGGATTCAAAGCATTTTGGGGCGTTATTTCTCATTTTTGTTAAAAATGAAAGCTACTTCCGGTCAAACAGGACGGAAGGCCTACTCGTTGCTTTGCAACGAGCTTTGCTCTAGTTAAAATTAACTTTTATTTAAAATTAACTTCTTTGAACGAACATATATTAGTATATAAACCTGTGTAAATAAAAACATGACACTAGCCTTGTTCACATGACAAAAGTTTGGGGCTCTAAATCTGTCTTGTATCTGGACAACTGGAGTTCAAATTTTTAATGATCATTAGAAAGATGGAAAAATAAATTTTGAAATTTTAGATAAACTGTGTCCATGCCCCTGTTTTAGCTTTAAATTCTTTTGTCAAAAGTACCAGAATATCTTTCACAGATCAAGAATTAAGGCGAAAAAAGGAACCATGCTCTGATCCGTGTTACTTTAAATTGGATTATACTAGGCGCTACTCTCATTACTGTATTCTACAAAATGTTGAATTACAGTTAATGGTTGATAGAATACCAATAACATACCATCAGAAACCATGCAAGGATGCTCCTAATAAATGCATGTACGATTTCAAGTTGGTGTGTTACAAATCATACGTAAAAGGTAAAAATAAGGCAAAATAAATAAAATAAATTACTAAATTTCGATATCAACATATTTCGAAAATATTGAAAATCATACATTTTTGGATAATATGCGTTCATTTAATCAAATACTCACATGATATTCTTTGAGTTATTTTAATTTTGTCTATTATTTTCATCAAGAAAACTCAAGCATCGGATCACTATGCTTAAGAGACAGCCACTGCTCTTCAGAATACAAGCTTCGATGCCTTTATAAAGGGAAACCGAACACCTCACCGTATGGTTCCTGTGAAATTAGAGAATTTGTTGAGAATAATCAAACTTCTGTCACAGGTAAAAAATTATTACATTATACAATTTTTGTTTGTTTTTTTTTTTTTTTTTAGGTCAATACAATGATTTAGTCATCTGAGGAGTACAATATTCACCGAGCCCGAAGAGTGAGGTAAATATTGTACTTCAAAGATGGCTAAATCATTGTATTGACCATAAAAACAGCAATAATTGTTTTATCATATGATTCACTGATAAAATGACACAGCTCATTACTTGTTTGCATTTAATTAAGTCCTTGCCAAATACAAGAGAGAAGCAGATTTAAAATGTAAATAAACCTTACCAATTGTATCAATTTGAACTGTTTTTTTATTTTAGTTGCCATGAAAAAAGATATAATGTCAGTCTTTTTATAGGATAGATTTGAAAGGACGGAGTATTATCAGGGAAACTGACAGCCGAAAAGAGGGAAAATTTTTGTTAAGTTAAAATGTTGGAGGGGTCCCTGCATCCCCTCTAACCACAGAAAATATATATTCGCTTATGTTTCGTTCACATGAAAAAAAGTCATAGTCGTTTAAATAGCTTTCTAAAAGAATTTGTGTTAATTTGGAATTTCCCGATCTATTTTTTTTTTTTTTGATAAATGTAGAGAAAAAAAATCCCTTATTCACCTGGAACGTTACGTGCAGGTAAATATAACGTAGTATTTTTTCTACATAGCCGAATCCCAGCCAATCAGAAAGATAGGAATTATTTAATCATATAATAATGATATAGGATTATTGAACTTGGTGAATATTGGCACAAGTTTGCTGTTAAATTGCACGAGCTTGCGAACTTTACGATCAGCCAACTTGTGCCAATATTCACCAATATAAGTTCAATAACTACTTTATTATATAGCTTAAACATTTCCTCATAATTTATAAAAAAAATTATTCCAACTAAAAAAAACTCACATTAATATTTTTAGTATCGGTATTCAAATTAACGTCTTTCCTGTAAGCGTCCAATATCACATCATTCTGATGACCCTACCGAGCGATATGATTTGCTTATTTAGGTTCTAATGGGTCTTATAGATACAAAATGTTTAACAAATAATTTCATTTTTGTGTGAAAAATAAACACATCTTACCTAGATGCCACTACTTTTTTTAATCTACCTCTGAGAATTTGAACAGACGACTCTTTTTGTTTACAACGGGGCATTTGATATTGAACAATCGAATTCGGAATACATGTATTTCGGTCATACTCATATACGTAATACAAACTCAGCGTTCAATAAAACGTCAAGATATTGAACGCTAAAATTCTCTAGAATTTCGTAATATTTTATTAGAGACTATTATTAGCTATATAATAAACTCATTTATCCCCTTCCCCGCCGTTGCGCATTTTAAAGCATATATAATTTCTAACGCAAATTCACGCATTAACTGTTTCTCGCAATAACGCATTTTCACGCACTTTCAAAAGTGAATTTTATCTCCAATTTAAAGCCAATTCTCTCTTATTTCTACTTGCTAAAATCTCATTAAATTAGTATTGTTAAAATAAACTTATTCAAATATTACGTCTTAATTTTTAACGCTAAACTTTAGAAAACCTATAAAGAAGCTTGCAGGGTAAAGAAACTTGATATTTTCATAACATTAACATTAAGTGTAAGTAAATCGCATTTCGTCTGCTTTAATTGCTTTTCGTGTATATGTGTAGGAAGTAGAATAATTATACGAATATTTTTTTTTTCAAATCAAATCATATTGATTTGGCTGGTATATTGCGCCACAGTTCTGAAAGTTGTAGAGTTAAAATGGCAGAATTACAACCCAGACTGCAAATAAACAATACAGCCGCTTAGTCTATATTTGTAAAATATTTATAATTTGTAAAACTTTTTGACCTTTACATATTAAGTTTAAATCTCTAAAGACGTTTTCCACACACTTATGTACATGGTTTTAATATCAGTGAGCCACTTATCGCAATTTCTCTCTTATATTTTAGTTCTATGTGCTACCTATCCGTTAGGATACTTAAAGAAAGAAAAAATCCTTTTCTTTAAAAAAAAAGAAAAATCTTTTCTTTAATAAAGAAAAAAACTTTTCTTTAATAAATTCGTATAGATTTACCTAAAAGCTTGCTACAAAAAGCACTCCTTGGGAAAGAACTTCTTATTGAAATAATTTATAAATTACTAGTAACTGACTCGACGTGATTCAAAGTTTCGCCGAAAGTTAACTAAAACATTACATGTAATTTATTACAATACGCTGAGAGAAAACACTCTTAAGGCCGGTATACACGATGAGATTTGTAGTATAATACAAGTATTATAATGCTTTTGTATTATAATACTTTCTTGTACACACGCTAATACATATCTTATAAGATTGTAAATAAACTATTTTTCCCACGTGTTTTCTCCTGCCATATTTCTCTCTGTGTCAAAATAATAAAAATGATAATAATAAGCTCTGCTTCTAGCATCTTTTTTGTGGTAGCTACAGCTTGATATATTCCACAAGTCCCCCTCCCCTTCCCATAAAACCACGAGTTTTTCGATATCTTTACTCAAAAAGTCGGCCATTATTATTTACCATGTGCTTTATTTAGTAATGACATAAATAGGATGACCCCGAATGTGAGTACATTTGATTGGTTGAAAGTGAAAGGTGAGTTAAGACTTGTATTAGGAAATAGAGCATTGCTCTATTCTTAATACAGTTTTATAAGATTCGAAAAATCTTATGATACATTGTATTAAGAGTGTATACACAGTAAGATTTGTATTATGATACAAATCTTATAATACAAATCTTACCGTGTATACCGGCCTTTACGTTTTACATCATGATGTATATAATACCTTTTATTTAGCATCAAAGAAATCAGAGGGCCAACATATAACACTATCTATATTGGGTGGTATTGTCATCGGTATATCACTAACAGTCATAGTAGTGATGATAATGAGGAAGAAGGGACTTTGGAAATATATTGAAAGGTACAGTACGTAAATGTTCCATTGAATACCTGTTTTAAAAAGGACGGCGGTTTAGAAGGACTGTGGAGAAACTATTTGGTATTTGTAAATGAAAGAGATTAATCAATAATATTACATGTATATGGCATTTGCTTCTTAAACAGCTATTATTGCATAACGCATATGGAGAGCAAATGTTCCAAAAATCTTTTTTTTTCTTAATCTTTATAACACAATAAGAATATTTCGCATTTTATGTATACAAAACACAGGTATTACATGTCAATTATTCCAGAAGTATAAATGAGATATATTTAATAAATACCTTCTCAATCATGTTATCAGCAAACTAAAGCTTCACCCTTCAATATATATTTGAACTGTAGAATATTTTAAATACTGGTTCTCTATGATAAAAGCATTATAGAAAGGATGAAAATATTGCACTATATACGATATAGATATCGTATAACTTGTTAGCCGGCGTACATTAATTTCATTAAACATCTTATCTGCAGACTGATCATATGCCATCGTTTTCATACTTATTTTTTTCAAAAGTTTGTAAACATGTTTTATCCGAAGAATTTCTACGTAAATAATTAGCACAGTTACTAAATAAGCAGAACATTATTCCATTGCAATTTACTTACTTTAAACCTTTGAAATGATCCATAAGATACAAAGAATCACAGACACAACTTTGCATGTAACATGATGGGTCGAGTGCAATGCTTAGTTCATACTTAGTTTATACTTAACAGTTAATGATATTAATTAAAGTTCACGATTTTTGTTGATTTCAATGTCTTTTGAACATACGATTTAACTAAACGGTGTTTGGCTTACAACGTATTTCTCTCCACAAAAAGTACATGGCGGTAAATGCAAATATTAATTCATTTCCTATCACATGTCATATACTATTGAAGATTTAAGTCTTTCGTATCAATCAGGAATGCTGATTTGTTGTTCTAAACTTTATATTTGATTTGTTCTAAAATAAAAAGACGTTAAGATTTTTTTCACTTTCAGAAATGGTGACAAGAAATTTAGAAATTGATTATTTGAACTGTTTGAAGATTTATGAACTTTATTTATCCATTTTGACTAAGCTTGTTTTTCTGTTTCGGTTATCCATTATTTACTATAAAGACGTTTCATACCATACTGCTGTCATAAATGCTTTATTCAAACAATAAACACTATTTTACAGAGGAGGAAAGATCAACGATGTTACAAATGCTTTATATAAAGTTGATTCCGTGCCAAGAGCAGAGGAAATAATACCGTGTGAAGAGAGAGACATATACAATTTAATAAACGATTATGAATTTGCAGAACCTCAACAGGTGAGCCGAGTGCTATTTATATTCTCCCTCACTTTGTTCGTCCGAATATAAATGAATTATATTCTAAGCATGAAATAATAAGATAAAAACGTGTATGTTAGGAATGGTACTCGCTAGAATCTTTTTATTTTGCATTACATAATATAATTATAGTTACGATTCATTAGATTATAAATTGTTTCATACATTCAGAAAACATAAACGTACATAAACCAAATACCTGATGTTCATTACCTTTTCAAATATGCGTGTATACCCGTAGGTTATAGCGAGACTCGATAATCGAACATGAATGAGCGAGGATATACGAGGGGTTATCAAAAAGTTCGTGGACTGAGGCTATAAAATTAGTACTATGTAGTCTGTGCTTTCAAAATTTATATGGAACATAAAACAACAAAAAATAAAGAATTGTAGCAAATTTAGTTTAATGCGTTAATTATTTGCCAAATCGTAAAATTAAAACATTAAATGATCGTCCAGCGCTGTCGTCGTTTATTTTCATGAAGTCCGATAACGTCATTGTTTTTTCAATGTCCGCATCTTCTACCTCTTACACTTTTTAGATGAGATTCCCTGGAGCTGAGTAAGGACTTAAACCCGCCTTGTTTATACGACTTTACAATGACATGAACAGTGGTCTTCAGTGAATATAATATTCCAGATGGATTAATACATTGGGAGAGATACGCGCTTGATTGTGCCGGCATATTTTGCTTTTGGGAGTTCAATATCTACAACACATGATCAACGTCATTTTTTGACGTGATTGATTTTTCACACCTTAACTGCAAATCGACATTAAATGTGTATCCCTTTTCTCTCCGAGTCTATTTTGACATTAAAAGACAAATACTCTGGATGCATATTATTTCTCTGTAGCCAGTTTCAACATATTTTAGGTCTATACCAGTTTTTTAACGGGTAAAACTTTATAGAATGTTGGAAACGGAAACCCCTCTCCCCTTTCGAGGTCATTTTCAAGGCCTCATTTGTTGAAACATTCCATTAAAAATTTACGATAAAATTTCATAGAACTTCCAAAATGAAGTGAAAATTTAAGATTTTATGGAACAATTGTGTACCGACACATACCTGAATTAACGGGATTTTAGGATGTCAAATGATCATATCAAAAGAGTTTTTCTCAGTTACACATAGGTCGCAAAAACGTCGTGTTCGAGTTTGCGCCGCCTGGACATACCACTGCTTACAAAAACATTACTAATTTATTAAAAAATAAAATTCATGATTTATCGTTTATTCTTTAGATAGAAAAGATGATGCTAACTTGATATTTTGAAATTCATTGATTTGCCTAAAGAGATTTTAATTTTATGACGCTAGTCCACGAACTTTTTGATAAACCCTCGTATATAGCAAATGATCACGTGATAAGACTAGAATGCAACGAAATTAATTTTATTTAGCACACCTAAATGATATTTGGAGGTAATATGGTAATACAGAGTTTAATAAAATCGAATAATAATTAACACTCAAATGTTTCTGTATGAACATGATGAAGATAAAGTAAAATTTTGAATCGTTTTTAATTCTTCCTATAGCATACCAAAGAACAAGATGAACATCAGAGGTCAAGTGAAGGAGAGAGGTCCTATAATCCTCTCTTTGAAAAGGAACAGAAAACACGTGAAAATTATCAGGAGTATAAATTTTCTAATGATGACAATTATACAGATATAAAAAGATTCAGCAGTGATTCTGTGAAAAACATCGAAACGGAAGAGTATTTTACCTTGGAGAAAACATAGATTGATAGCATGCATCAATTTGTAGCGCATCATATAATTGTACTTTATTTAAGAAATTTTCCAACAGATTTACACATTTATCGTGAGTAAAATTTAAAGATAAAATAAAAGTTTATCATGAAAATTTAACCAAAGGTCTATCCAAAAAATAAGGATGAACGTTAGAGACTGTGCAGCTGACAAAAGTGAAGAAAAATGTAAACAAACGCTAGGCTCCTAATTTTCTCTATGTACACAGGTTGAATCGATAGCCCAAAAACTGTATGAAATGAAATACTTGTATACATTTAAAATAAAATAATTATCATTTTACTTGCTTATTTTATTCATTTTTATACACGAAAAGCAAGTAGAGCAGGTCATTTTATAATTTATGTACCGGTAGATATTATTGCGCCGTGTGATTAGGTCACGTATTGACCTCTGACCTCTGACAAACTTCATACAGAATTGAAGATATTTTCTCTCTGTATGTTTATATAATGGAGAGATACCACAAATGTATATATTTACATATAATCAATGATTGAATACTCGGTATCTTAAAACAAAATAATCACAGGCACTTGTTTCGGAATTTTTTTTTATCCCATAATTTAATAACACAAGGTATCCAACTCCAATTTTCACTCAGTAACCCCCCGCCTTCCTCAGAAACGCACTCATTTATACTTTCAGAGGAAATGCACTTACAAACTCTGTTACCAGTGTCTTCTACGATGATTTATCTACACTTTATATGACATGTATGTTTTCATTTAAGGAATTAGTCTAATTAGTATAGTATGGCAGGGCATCGACGATAGTGGGAAATATGGGATAATTTGCATAACGGGCGAGGACTCCCAAGCCAATTTCAATAGTCCTCGCCCACTGACATCAGACACAAAGGCAGCCGCACGAGATTTAAATGCATATTTTGCTTCCTCAGTGTTAAAGACAGATGCACAATTGATATAACGACTTTATCCTCACTACTACTATTACTAAACTTATATTATTGTGCTTTTTCTGCTTTATGAATTTAGAATGAATAGTTTGTAAAAATTTTCTGTGATCCTGCTTTACTTAATGTTCAAATGATATTGAAATGTTATACATATACTGTACAACTGATTTATGTATATACGTTAAACCTATGAACTGTATGGTTCTTGGTAATAAACAATACAATACGAGATTTGTATGTATATTTGGCCTCCTTAGCTCCTGACCTATCGACCTGCCTAATTTACATTCTGGTAGAATTATCAAGAAATTAAATCCACTAACCTTCAAAGAGTTATCACAGGAAAGAAATAGAAATGGAAGTATTTTCTTTTATCTTTGTAAACAGCATCAATTTGAGTTTAATTTCAAACAACATAAACAAATATGGTTATGGATCTTTGAGTATTTATTTAATCCTGAAATAGGTTAAAACGACAAAATAGGCTAAGATCCTTTTTGGCCCCTGGTTTGGAGTATCAATTGAAAACCACAAAATTAGTAATGCTTCTAAGTTATGCGATACACATAGGTCATGCCAATTTCCGAGTTTTCTTGTTTTTATGCAAATTTTTATCGATTTTATAGTACCGGGTACATTTTGCTTCGGAAAAAATTTAGCACAAGCTTGTCTTTCAAACATTTCAGATAGGCAAGCTTGTGCTTTTTCTTTCCCAAAGTGAAAAGTATCTCAAATTGGATGTAATTCAACTGAAATTGAGAAAATGTCTCATTTCAAATTGCTTGTATATTTATATACTAAATACAATTAAAAATATTTATTTGTATAGAAAAAATAAAAATGGTAATATCCTCTCAACAATTATCATCTGTTTACAATAATGAAATGTGTACAGTGCATATATTTGGGATAGGAATGAAATCAACATATATATCAAAAAAAGTACGGATATGTTTTTAATTAATCATTTAAAAGCATAAATGTACAGCTTTTTGCCTGTTTTTAAGCATTTTGTATGTCGGTATTTGACAAATGTTATTGACAATTAATTCCGAGAATTCGGGAAGGGTAACATTTTTTTTGCTATGTAATTAAATAAGAATAATGTAACGAATTCAAGTAAATATTTCAAAATAAATCAAATACGTTGTAATAGTAAAAACTGAAGTGTATTTTGCGTGTCACAAAAATACATTATTTCTATTTACTTCGAAGTATTTGTTATTCAATTATATGGCAATTTTTATTAATTGAAATTTCTAGATTAAACTATTTCCAAGACCTATAATGTTCATGTATTAATGTAGACATTGGGTCTACCGGGCGAGAAGGAACGATGAACCGTTGATTTTTATCATGATTAATGTCTATCAGATATTTATTTCAATGTTGTAACGCTACTTTTTAACACCTAATCTTCAGAAAACTAGTTATTTGGTCTTGACAGATAAATAAATTGATGTGGTCAATTTTGCATGACGCCTCCGGTGTTTTATCAAATGAAGCGCGAAACAAGCGATTTTAGAAACAAAATGTGCAACACTTAATGACAGTAAATAGTAAGATTTTAGAAGGGATCATGGTACAATCTTTTTACTTGTGATATATTTGTTATAATTTTGGTTATGGATCCCGACGTAAGGAAAACCTTGATGGAACTTAACCGTCCACGTGGGAAATTCCGGACCCAAGTGCTAAAAAAATCTCAAGAAAAAGTCAGGAAAAATATAAAAACATTTAAATACACCCGAGTGTTGAATAAAATACGGGAAAACATCCCAAAATGCACGTGTACCAGAGAACTTTCCCGCGCTTTCTGTACAGAGCTATTTCCATTTTGGGGAATTATGAAAAAATACAGCATTCGGAAATATCTCCTCGCAGATTTTGTAGCCGGTCTCACTGTAGGAATCATACATATTCCTCAGGGTAAGTTCTTTCATGATAAAAATACTGGCTTCTTTTTTTTTCTTTTCATTTAAACGTTAATTTCAATGGCAATTACCTGTAATCAATTTCATTAGAGAAAATCATTTAAAATTTTTTTCAACTTTTTTTTTCATAAAATAAGAGAAATTTAGTATTTATTTATTCAATAAATAAAATAATTTAAGAATCTCTTAGTAAGCCATTTATCTTATCATTAAGCTAATACATATGTTGACATATAACTGCGCGTGCAACTTTATTTATCCTATATAAAAAAAAAATTATGATGAAACATATGATATAAGACAATTTATTTTCATATTCTTT